GATCCGCAGGCGCGGCCTCGCGGGAGCGCGCGGCAGAAAGGGTGTTCTGGCAAACCCCGGGTGAAATTACACTTGTCCGAATCAATAATCGTAAGATTTTTATCTCGGGCTATTTTAAGGACGATGCTGCGTCCTTAGGAATACAGAGACTTCGCTGGGAACGCAGCTTGGGTTTGTTTTTTTGGGTTGCTGTTGCTGGAAGAAAACAACTCCGGGGCCGGGCAGGGGCTGGAACCTGGGGACCGTGGTGGCATCGCCCACTGTGACCACGGGCTGCATTTCACCACTGTGCTTCTTCACCTCCCTCCAACTCTTTTTGTGTTTTTCTCTTTTTCTCTCCCAGTACCCCCAGAAAAACCAGTCAACATTACCTGCTGGTCTAAAAACATGAAGGACCTCACCTGCAAGTGGGCGCCGGGGACGGAAGGGGAAACTTTCCTGCCCACCAACTACACCCTCAAGTACAAGCTCAGGTGAGGTGCCTGCCTTAATTCCTGTTTTTCCTAAAATTCTTAAAGGCAGGGAGAGGGAGCTCAGTGCCTCCTGGCTGGGGATGGTGTGATGAGTTTCATCAGGTCTCAGCCATGGTGGGCGCTGGCAGGTAGTCATGCCCTGTGCATGCCAGAGAGGAGAAGGAGGGTGAGGAGAAGTGGCTGCAGGGCCGATATCCCAACACCTCGCCAGTGCCATGCCAGAGGTGTTGAGTGGTGGATAAATGAGCCTCGGTCCCTGCCAGGAACAGGGCTGGCTGAGCATCCCCGGCTCAACCGCGGCGCCCAGTGGTGCCAGTACCAGCACTGAGCACCTGCCCGCAGGTGGTACGGCCGAGACAACACGTGCCAGGAGTACCACACGCACATCCCCAAGGACCTGGCCCTCTTCACGCCCTACGAGATCTGGGTGGAGGCGTCCAACCGGCTTGGGGTGGCCGTCTCAGACGTCATCATGCTGGACCTGCTCGACGTGGGTGAGCGCCGTGATGTCACCACCGTGCCGGTGACCTCACGGGGAGGGAGAGGGGGCAGCAGTGTCGGGTTCACCCGGTGGGATGTTGGGGAGGGGCAGCAGGAAATGGGCGATATGTGAGCAGAATTGCTCCTAATCGAATTAGGCTGTTTGCTCCGAGGGTTTTTTTTTCCCCTGCATCTGCGG